ATTTCAGGTACCAGAATATCCTTTTTAAAATTCTGTTTTTTTACAGAACTGGAAGGAAAAATTCCGGCAGCAGATTTACCAGAATATTCTTCCTATTTTCTGTTAAATTACAGGATTCCTATTTTCTTTTAATTACAGGAAATAATATTAGTCATTCTGTAATTTAACAGATTTTGTCGTAAAAATATTTCTGTTATTTAAAGCAGATATTTTACAAGAAATTCTGTTATATAACTGAAGACAAAATTTAAATTCTGGTAAATCAGCTGCCTGAATTTTTTCTGTTAAATGAAGGAATTTTTTTTTTACAGTGCAGGAATAGTTTGAGGTCAGATACAAGTTATATCGTGGCTTTGAATGAATGACTAATGATGTACCAGCGCCGAATTTTATACTTTTTATACGCTCACATGAATATGTGGTCGTATATTGTCGTCGCCCCGTCTGTCAACATTTCTTGTGAGTACTATAGAGACTAAAGTATTCATCTGTTTTGATAAAACTTGGTGTGATGCTTTAGATTGATAAGATCTCGATCAAGTTCGAATTTGACGTATTTTCGATGAACGTTTGACTTTGTTATAAAACGCATCGAAATTTGTTAAAAATAGTTCGTGAGCAGGATTGAAGCTACAGTTTTCAACCGATTCTGATGAAACTTGGTGTGATCGTTGGAATTGATAAGATCTCGGACAAATTTTAACTTAACGCATTTGCGATGAACGGCTTTTGAGTTATTGCCCTTGACTTTGTAAAAAACGCGTCAAAATGTGTTCGTGAGCACTATGGACGCTGCATTTTTCAACCGATTTTGATCAAACTTGGTATGATCATTGGAATAAATAAGATATCGGACAAGTTCAAACTTGACGCATTTTGGATGAACGGTTTTTGATTTATTGCCCTTGACTTTGTTAAAACGCTTCAAAATTTGTTTGGGTGGGAATATTTTGTATTTTGTAGAAACCTTATTAGAGTTGCTAATACAGCAAAAATTCTCGACTTGAGACTCGTCACCAGCCAGACAAAATTTAAAAAAAAATTCAAATTCTTTTATAGAATGAAAGATTATTGGTTCCAGTTAAGTATCATGTTTCCAATCTATATTAATCGCGCAGACGGTGGACATTATATTGATCATTCCTTTCTAAGCACTGGTCAGAGAAAACTATCCCATATGGCGTGTATGCCATTGATATAATTTTAGAATGATGGGGTGTGTCATTTGAGCTCTAAATATCGCAAAAATGTTACAAAATGCATTTTCATGTCCAACTCAACTGGCTTGTCAAAAAACGAAGTCACTGTATAAGTCTTTTTGTTAAAATTAGGCCAATAATAAATTACTACTATAAATTTTGATACCTTTGGTTGAAAACTTCTTAGATAACAGTGTAGAATTGAAATATCAAAAAACAAAAACGATTCAAATTGTAATTTAATTGTAATCAGACTGGATACTGATAATGGTGCCGATGCTTTTCCGACAGCTTGCCAACACCGGCTTCTAACCTAATTCCGACATCTATCCGATGTCAAAATACCAAAGCCATAAAATACTACATCGGGCTGACATCTGAAGTATAACATAATGAAAGGTTGGTCCTACGTCGGCTATTGGTATGGAGCCAATGTTTTATACGCCCACATGGAATGGGGATGGGGGCGTATATTGGCGTCACTCATGTCCGTCCCTCCACAATTGCTCGTAAACACTCGAGGAGGCAAAATTCTTGACGGAGTTGACGAAACGAGTGTTTGTTATCACAAAAGGATGAACCCTATTGAAAATCAGATCAGAAAAACCGATTTTTTTTAGTATGAGTCATTGCCCTTGAAAACACTTTCAATTTTTTGACATAATTGAAAACCTTGTTGTCAATATTAAAACTTCGTTGAAGTTGTCTGTTCTGGAGATTTCAATGATAGAACCGGAACACTGAAAGATACCATTTATAATGTTCATGATTGTATTTATGCACCTTATTAAGATTCTCAAAAGATAAGATAGCTTTCCATGCACGGTAATATACGCCCACTGGCAGCTTTGATTTTGAATAAAAATGTTTAGCAGTACAGTAGCAATCACCAGTATGAAATATTCAACCTTCAGTCATACACTTCTTCTGAACTCTTAAGGGAGATACTGAATAATATTGACAGTGGCCCCGAAGGCTAGTTTTTCGGCAGTGGCGTGTTATGTAAATTATTTGATTCTTTACTAGTAGCGCCTGGTCTTAATTACGGTTGTGAAGTGTGGGGCTATAAAAACCAGTCCGGGATAGAAACTGGAAGCGAAAGTTAACTTGTCATTTACCTACCTACCAGAATTGTTCAGCAAATTTCTAAGGAGAAAATTGAATGTTTCCAACTCTTCACCCATATTTTTTTTTTAATCGGTGAGCTTGGGCGTTATCCATATCATGTTGTTTATATTAAAAAAAATGCTAAAATATTGGATACAATTGGCAACAAACAAAAGTGTTTTTAAGTTTGAATTAAATATCTTCTTTAAAAAAAAAAACAGGCCGAAACAGGTGTCAAAAACTGGGCTTCCAAAATCTAAGGATGTTTAGATAACCTAGGATGTTCATATTTATGGAGTCATCAAGATAGGGTTCCACTGGCAGACAATTATATACAATTGTCAAATAATCAAAATATTCTCATATCTTAAACTTTCGAAGATAGCCTATATTATAAATAATCATCAAATTCACACGAATAAAGTCTCATCATCATATAGATAAGTTCGAACTTTTCTGAGACTTCATAAATATATGCATCATCAAGACGCATTTTTTCTAAGTCAAGGGCAATGACCGCGAAACCGTTCGTCCGATTTATCGAGTTAAGGGAAATAATTCCGAAACCATTCATCCGATTATTTATCGAACTTGACTGAGATCTCATCCATATATACATGCATACCAAGTTTCATCTAGATCGGATAAAAACTGTACCCTCTATCGCGGCTACAAGTAAAATTTGTCTTGTTTTACGAAGTACAAGGGCAGGGCAGTAACTCCGAGACCATTCAATCCATTATTACCAATTTCGAACTTGACCGAGATCTCATCAATATATACATACATATCAAGTTCCATCAAGATAGAATAAAAACTGTAGCCCCTATCGTGCCTACAAGAAATGATTTGTATTCACTTTTTGATAGAAGTTTTCCGATATCGCATCCCTTGATAAACGTTGTTTTCAATAAATCCATACCATACGTCTGACTTCTTTTTAGTAAGATCGGATAGTTATGCGCTTTAATTAAAAATTGACCAAAATCCTGGAGGTTAATCGTTTCTGCGATCAAATCACGATTGACCTCATGTTCCTTTAGCAGCCGTTGCTCTCACAATCCCATTTTATCGTCATTAATTTTGATTGGTAGAGAGTTTACTTGATAATCTTTAAATAACCAGACGCAAAATTTGAAGTACAAAATTTACTTTCTTTTAAATCTCAAAGTTCATGGTTGAGTTTTTGTCATAGTGCCAAACATCATTAATAGTTTTTAGAGCAAGAAATACAAATCAACAATTTCTACGCCCCCTTGAATAATATTCATTTCGTCGTTACCGGAAAGATCCCATATAAAACTTTGAAAATTAATTGATAGCGTTAGAATTTTCTGGAAATTTGGATGAATATTTAGGACACGTGAAAGTAGGCCTACCTTTCTGTCAAGTTTCACATCGATCACTAATCGACATGTGGCCACCACCCACTAATATGAGATTATTCAAGCAACGGTTAGATGTGAGTATCAACGTACCGTTGTTAAAGGAACATGGGTTAACCTATGAAAATATAGTGAACCGTGGCATTAAAATTATTTCGTACGCGTTCGAAGAGGGTGAATATAGGCCTGGTCAAAATACGCAGTTAACTGGTCTTTTACAAAATTTACGAACAATATTGTGGATATTTTAACATGACTAACAGAAATGTTTGGCGACATGCATAGGATTCGATTGCTTTTTTTTAAATCCTCTTATTTTCTAAAATTCTGCATTAAAAATGTGTCGTACACTTTAATAAGTGGCATATTAAAAGAACTGATTTGTAAATTATTAGTAGTGAACCTGAACAGTGAAACCAAATTATTGTGAAATGTGAAAACTTTTAACAAAAAAATCTGAGTGAATTTAGAAAGATATTAGATTTAGAACAAACACACCTTCTAAACTCTTACTAGTCTTAGTATCGATAGTCCAACGTATTCCCCTCAATAACTTTACAAATCAAGTAAGACTATTCATGGTAAATGTCGTTTGTTTGTTTACATCAACAACAGTTTGCCGACGAATGAATCATCGCTTTATCGGCAATTTCCGTATTAATCTTCACGAGATATAATATATTCGAGCATGCGCCGAAAGGAAAATGACATCATGATACGTTGTGAAGCTATAAATAGTATCAAACAATGACATCATCGTTTAAGCAGCTGATAGCGAACTGTTCTTTTGTACTGTTGTTCATACACACTCTCATTGTAAAGACTTTCTAAATGGATTTAAGCATTTAATGCTGAAAACATTGCTTTGATGTCAGTTTTTACGTGAATGGATTTTAGTTTTAAAGGATAACGTGAATTTATATTATTGTTGTGAGTACGAGTGTCTACTTTGGGAAGAGTTGTCGATTCAATTACCTTTCACTTTCATAGTTATATTTTTGGCTTTGTAGGATATTGTCCTACATTATGGAATGATTATAGTGTTTTTTGTTTTAAAGTTAACATTTTTATTCGGTTGTATTTGTTATAATTATACTTCCAAATGCCTGAATCCACAGAAGTCGAGGTTATAAACCGAATTGGTATCAATCACATAGAGCCAAGTCGTCGTCGTATGTTAAAGTTAGATATATCTCCTGGGCTTATTTCAGATGACTTGCATAAAGCTAAGAAATGCAAACTTGAAATGTCAATGCTGAATGCAACAATTCGTCCAAATATGCCTTTTTCATCAAATTCGAGGACGATGATGCCCGATGAACTTGCATGTAAATTGAATAAATCTAAATCCCTGTTAGTGATTGACTGTCGCTCTGCCTTTGCTTTTGATACCAAGCATATTCAAGGTGCTGTTAGTGTGAGTTGTGGTGGGGTATGCAAAAGGCGCTTACAGCAAGGCAAAGTGAGCCTTATAGACTTAGTGACCAGTAAGGAAGGTCGGAATATGTATAAAAAGAAAAGTAATAAAGATATTATCATTTATGATGATCAAACAACTGATACGAGAGAAAATCCAAAAGATACTACTTTAAATGTTGTCATCAATACTTTATTCAGGGAGGGAAAGGATCCATTTGTTTTAAAAGGTAAGTGTTAGTGTATAACTCAAAACCTGAAATGAATGAATTGTAGGAATTTAAGATTGTCAATAACCTCAGTTTTGAATACCGGTTAATTGTTATTTTGAGGTGCATTATGTTTTTCCTTAAAGATTATTTGTAAAAATGTTTAGGAAATAAAATCTAAGCCATCATGTTTTTTACTCACAATTTTGAGAAATAAGAGCAAATTAACACAATCATTAATCACACAATGACAAAGATTGTTGATTTCTGATTACTTGTAACTTAATTGTTTCAGATGAGTGATAATGAATCACTCAACATGAATGAAGTAGTTATCTTCGTTATAAAAGAAAAAATAGATGAGCACATTGGTTTTCCTTGTGGAAACTCCCAATGACTACAAATATATCCTTTGATATTTCATACATTATTGGTCAACTTCCATAGATGTAATTGGAATAGCTGGAGGAAACTAAAATCAACTGGTTTCAAGAAATAAAAATGAGTCATAAAAGAGTGAAAATGAAGGTTTTATTGTTTAAAATAAAGTAAAGATCTTTAAGGAATTCATTGATGATGGTTTTAAATAATTTTAAACATTTTCACATTTGTGGACTAGTTGATAGTAATGGCTTTATTGGTCATTCTAATGTATTCTTTCATTAAGAATTTAAGGATTCATTGCTGAGGACAATGACTCGATTTGTTGATGATTTCACCATTTTTGTGATACATATATATATCTTTGCTAGAATGACTCACATGATGTTTAATGTATTTGGAGATATTATTCCTAATGATGAAGATTTTATTTGCTTAATGAACAGATAAAGTCATGGGAGCATACATATTTTGAGCCAAGAAGGTTTTCTGATATTAAGACTACATTCACTGGCCTACATTTGATGTAACCAATATCTCATACAATGAAACATATGTAATCAAATAAATTTATTTAAGTAAACCTTTATCCCTTGATATATACAATAATAGAGAAGAATTAACATAATCGCCTTGATTGTTAAATTTCTGATCAATTTGTTTCTGACACAAGTGATATTTAGGCGTGATGTATTTCAATAGCTTGTGAAAAATACATTTTATGCTTTGAAAAATTTATACTACTCACTTAATGTAGTTTACAATGTCTAAGTTTCAAAATAGAATTATAAGATAATAAATCAAACTGAGTTTTATACGCCCACACATAAGATGGGCATATATTGTAATCACCCTGTTGGTCCTTCGGTCCGTTCACATTTGGTTCGTGTTCACTCTACAGGCTACAATTCTTTACGGATTATTTTGATTTTGTGTGTCAATGTCATTATGAAGATGATCCCTATCGATTTTCATGATGATCTGATAATTTTTCACCGAAATATCGTGTCTGACTTGACGTTTTTCTCTATTAGCTATATTGTGCAACTCGTGCTCATACAGATTCTTTTGATTTTGATTTTGTGTGTCAATGTCATTATGAAAATGATCCCTCTCGATTTTCGTGATGATCGGATAATTTTTCACCGATTTATCATGTCTTACGGTTTTTGAGTCATTGCCCTTGACTTAGGAAACATGCTTCAAAATTTGTTTGTGAATACAATAGAGACTACAGTTTTCAACTGATTTTAATGAAGTTTGGTGTGGTCATTTATATTGATGAGATCTTGGACAAGTTCGAATTTGATGATATTTTGATGAAAGGCTTGACTTAGGAAAAACACGTCTAAATTTGTTTGTGAACACATTAGAGACCACAATTTTCAATTGATTTTAATGAAACATGATTTGATCATGTATATTGATTAGATGGAATTTCTCAGCATAAATAACTGTCAGTAAATATATATATATCATTGAATTCAAACTTACAATTAAAATTTCTTTAATATGAGAAAATTCATACTTTAATCACTAATGACTGTTTTATCATTTCTGACAGCGTATGTTATCTTGCCTGGCAAGCTATCTTTTAAGTAAGCTTATGTTGGAAATTTGTTTTTCTCAAATTAATGAAAACTAAACACCTCTTGCAGTTAATTTTATAATGCCAAAACTAGTTAAAAGGTAGAGTTTTACCAAGGGCAATTTGCAGACAACTGGCCTATTTTAGCCTCAATCCTTCATGAAGTTTGTCAATTAGAATTTGTTTGTACGTTGACACTTTCGGACAAGTTGACACTTTCGGACAAGTTGACACTTTCAGACAAGTCGGAATATTTCTTTTAAGAGAATCAAAACCTCACTTCCCCAAAATTAAGTGATTATTGTTCTGTATAGAAGATGTCCAATACAACAACAAGTTATTGCCCCTAGTTTATTGGACATAGTTTCTCTTGCCAAACTCAGAGCTCTTTACCCTTCTTCGCTTTGGTTTTAAAAATTCTATTTCTTGATTAATCGATAGATGAACATTTTGTATAATGTTAACAATAAGTTTACTTTTTATATTTTTCAGGGGGTTTGAAAGCTTTTTGTAGTCGGCATAGTGACTTGTGTTGTAGTACCAAAAAACATGACTCAATCCATCCTTTAATGAGTCCGATTAGGTCTATTTCACAACCAGCTATAGACACGATCATTGCTTCTGAAGTATTACCATTTGTGTTTCTTGGTGAGTATTAGTTTAATATTCCTAAGCTTATGCAAGGGAATTATTCTGAAGCCTTTTTACGTATTTTACTTGACTTATTAAATATATTCAAGAATATGAGAAAATTCATTTTCAAGTCACTAAAGACTTTGTTATCAATTCTGGATTTGGACCTGTAGGCACAATACATGGGTAATCAGTCAAAAAATTTGATGTGATAGAAAAAACTGAGTACCAGTACCGGTAGCACTAAAGTCCAACATGTTTCAAGAATACAAAAGCCTTCTATCTCAAGGACAAACACACATGAAAGTCAGCTGAAATTCATTGATCATGTCACTTCATTTAAGTAACATTCTTCTCATTGACAGGAATCCATTACGGCTTCATAAAATGACAATCAATTCAGTTTGTGCAGTGGGTGCAAAAGTTTAAAGAAAATTATCAAAAAATATAAGATGTATGCTGAACTTGGTGATATAAGTGATAAGAATTTGACATGAAATAACTTTCCTTAAGATAACCTTAAGACTTTTGCACCCACTGCACAAACTGAATTGAAACTGAATTGAATACAAAAAGTTATGACTTCATTTGGTTGGGGAAGAAACAAAATTGTGGAAGGGAGTTAGATTAATGACAAATTGATATCAAAAGATTATATATATAGACATATCTCAGATACCACATAGCAAGAGTGTAAGGTAACTATATTCTATTACAACCAGACTTTATATCTTTGACAAGGATTTAGTCTGGGACTTGCTTTGAGTAATGACCCTTTCAAGCTTACTCAAGGGGGATAACTACTTTGAAGCATATTAAATCTCGCTTAAATATCCGCTTTGTTAATTTATCAATTCTTAAGCTTAGAATTAGTATCTAAACAGATGGCCATAAATACTGAAATATTAATACACCTGAAGATCTACTCTACTTATAATTGATATGGCACATCTAGATCTGTTAGGCCCATCTGTCATGAATTTTCAACTGACCAGGTGGGGAAAGGCAGCTAAATTTTTGACAGATTGTGATTTGCGATTAACTTTAATTTTGTCTTTCAATTTAAATTATACACCACCGGAAAATTCTGAATCAGACCTAAGGTCAGAAGGAATTAACTACTATGTCTCTTACTGTGTCTGCTGAAGACCAAACTCAATTGGATACGGTACTAATGTTATCAGCGATACCATTTATTTATGCCAGACAGTATGGTTATGCAGAATATGTTTTGCTCAGGGCTGGTTTTAAATAGAAAGGAGTCACTTTTCTGTTAGTTTGAATTAACTAAGTTTTTTGTAAAGAAATAAGCCTATCATTTTTAACATCTTTTCTGGATTCCGAAATAAATCATACAAATATTCCTCAACATTTTTAATTTTATGTATTTCATCTGATTAGTTCATACCTTAGTATAATATAATATAAAACCGCATGAAGCAGTTGTTGTTGAGTCAGCCATGCTGATAACAGTAATCATGACTTGCTCACAGGTTTAGACTCAGGTATTTATTCAATTTTTATGGAATTTGAAACGTGTATTGATGAGATGTTGTTCATTTTATAATTGGATAAACTGTGGCTTGAAAGCAATGTGATTGTAATAATTTAGAGTTATTGCTATTTAAAAAGATTTTGTGGAAAAACTTAGCATAAACAATTAAACAGTAAATTCAAAAAACAAATTAAAATTTAATACCATACTAAGACTATGAATATACACTAGTCTTAGTCTTGTCCTGGATACTCTATCATGCCAACTAAGTGAACACTAGGTGCTACTCCTTGCCAGCCCATTAGTGAAGAAGCACCGTACTCAATGCTCTCTTATGATTTTTAATTGAACCTATATTTCAGTTGAATTACAGGCACTAGTTTGTATCTTTGCCATAACATTATAATGCAGACAAACTAATTGAAACATTTTGGTTAAAAAAAAAGCATTTTAGGACAGTTCCACAGAATATAACAAAAAAATCTGATTTAAATCAAAACACTTTGATTAAAATCAGCAAAATCACCACCCCTTGTCTGCCAAGCTTTAGCTGTCTTATACTTGGTGATGTAGCTTTTCCACCAAATGAACTATCAGTCTTCTATACCCTGAATGTATCATATTCAATAATTATTGGGGAGCTCAAATCTTAATGGTTCCTTTGCCAATCACTCAAGCTTGCATTGGATTATTTAACATAAAAGGTTCATTATTACTACATTGCTTTTAATGAGCTTTTCATTTCAATTTCAGGGAACGAAAGGGATGCGGCTAATCTTGAGCGCCTCCAGTATCATAACATCAGACATGTTCTCAATGTCACCTCCCAAGTGCCTCTCTATTATGAAAAACAAGGAATTAAATATCGACGAATTCCAGCCTCAGACAGTAGCCAACAGAACTTAAAGCAGTATTTTGAAGAGGCCATTGAATTCATTGGTGAGTGACAACTGATATTGGTTATTAAGATAGCTTGCCAGGCAAGGTAATATACGCCCACTGACAGCTTTGATTTTAAATAAAAATATTTGGCAATTACAATTACCAGTATGAAATATTCAACCTTCAGACATAGACATACACTTCTTTTGTACTTTTTAAGGCGGTACTGAATAATATTACCAAGTTTCATCAAAATCTGTCAAGAATTGGGCCTTCTAGAGTGTTTATAGGCTAAAACTTAAACGCGCCACCCTGTCCGTCCGTCCACGATTGCTCGTAAACACTACAAGGCACAATTCTTAATTGATTTCGACGAAACTTGGTATGGTTGTTTGTAATCACCCAAGGATGAACCCTATTGAAAATCAGAATAATCGAAAAATTTTTAGTATGAGTTATTGCCATTGTTCCTAAAATGCTCATAAACACTCTAGAAGGCGCAATTCTTGACAGGTTTTGATGAAACTTGGTATGAGTGTTTGTTCGGTGATTACAAATAACCAAGTTATTGCCCTCGACTTAGTAAAAACTAGTCAAAGTTCGATTGTAGGCACGATAGAGACTACAGTTTTTATCCAACCTAGATGATACTAGGTATGCATGTATATGTTGATGAGATCTCAGTCGAGTTCGAAATCGGTAATAATCGGATGAACGGAGTTATTGCTATTGACTTTGAAAGACTAGTCAAATTTGCCTTGTAGGCGCGATAGAGGCTACAGTTTTTATCCGATCTACATGAAACTAGGTATGCACGTATGTATTGGTGAGATCTCAGTCAAGTTCGAAATTGATAATAATGGGATGAATGGTTTCGGAGTTATTGCCCTTGACTAAGCAAGTAATGCGTCAAATTTTGATTGTAGGGACGATAGAGACTACAGTTTTTATCCAACCTAGATAAAACTAGGTAGGCATGTATATGTTGATGAGATCTCAGTCGAGTTCTTAATTGTTAACATTCAGATGAAGAGTTTCCGAGTTATTGCCCTTGACTTAGTAAAATCTTGTCAAATTCAGACTGCAGGTACCATAGAGACTACAGTTTGTATCCAATCTTGATGAAACTAGATGCATTTATATATTAATGAGATCTCGGTCAAGTTAAGAATTGGTAATAATTGGATGAACCGTTTCAGAGTTATGAGACATTGTTCATTGTTCATTTGATGATAATTTTATGAACTGTTTCAGGATTTTGTCTTGACTTATAGATGATTTTAAGATTATTTGGAAATTCATTAGTGTAATCACCCAAGGATGAAACCTATTGAAAATCAGAAAAGGCAGAAAATATATAGTACTGGTGTGTTCTAGAAAACGCATTCAATTTTTTGCAATGAAACTTGGTGTTAGGGTGTATTGAGACGAGACTCAATGAAAGCACTGGCTTAGGTCACTGTGAGTGTTAGTAATCATCCAAGGATGAAGACCTAGTGAAAATCAGAGTTATTGTCCTTGTTCTTGAAAATGTGTTCAATTTTTAGCACAATTTTATCATTTACAACGATGAAATCTTGTTCTGAATTTTATGAAATTTTGTGTGGTTTAATTATCTTGATAAATTAGATTTTTAGTACAATTTGACACAGACTGATGATCGCCCTTGGTTAGGGAAGTGGGCATATCTTGCTAGGCAATCACTTGTTATTCCTTTTTGGGCATTAGAAGGAGGGCTATAGAATATTTTTATATTTGGACTATATGTGGAGTCCACACGTGGTTTAACCCTACTAGTATTTCACCAGAAGTGCGGCTAGTACAATACTTGGTATGCGTGAAAATATTGATGAGATCTTGTCAGATTTGAATTATTGCTCTAGACTTAGTTAAAATGTGTCAATTTTGGTTTGATAACAAGAAAAAAGTAAGAGGAAAAAGTTTGAATACATTGATTTGAAAAGACTTTGAATGAAAAACTTAGTATAATCAACAGTAAGCTTGTATAACAAAGCATTGACAAAGATTTTGAAAATTTTTATCACAATAACTTAAGAAACTGATATCACTGCTGACAGCTTCTAATGTTGGGCTGGCTATTTTATTTTAATAACTACAAGTAATATGAATTTATGAATGAATGAGTGAGTCATAATGTATTTATCATATTTCCATAGTAACAAATGACAAGCAAGGTGTACAAGACAACACACCAGATGTTGGGAGTCTCCCTCACACATTAAATGAGTCATTTCTGCATTTACATCTCAAACTGTATGACTTCAGTCAAGACTACTCTTTGTTCCTATTTATCTGTTGATTATTGTCAGGTGGAAATTATGACTCATTAAATATCTCCATAAAAATAGTTTCCACAGATATTTCTTTGTTAGTTACGCTTTGTGTTTTGAGTCTAGTTTTTATATTTTCCATTATCGTCTGTCCATTTATAATTGTCTTGTTGGATTTATTTTTTCTGTGCAGGATTATATCCACAAGATATTGGTCAAGTTCAATTAAGGGTATGATTTACCAAATATTGACAGAGTTTCAACCCTTGATACACTGAAATTATGTTATAAAAGGCATGTAAATATGATGAGGACAACCAGAATCTTATTGATATTAAAATGTATAATTAATATATCCACAAGATCTAAGTTCAAATTTTGGTAGATATTCGCTAAATACTAAGAGAATAATATCAGAATTTATAATTGGACCAATACAACAAAAACATGTTCATTGACCTTGGTTATCTATTTATTCTTTATTAAGCTTCCGGTTTTGTAGCATTTTGAAAGTTTGATGAGTGGTATCCCTTGACCTTTGGCGATCTTGCCCTTTAAAGGGTCAAAGGTCATTGACATTAACATTTGACCCCCGACATGTACTTCCGGTTTAATAGCTATCCGAAAACAGCGAAATTCGCAACTTTGGACTGACCTAATTAATCTAGACGGTTATTTTATTGATCGTTATAATTTGAAATTCTTGATTTTTTTCAAATTTGAGTGTTTTTTTTGTACAATATTTGTGTCTCTTTGAGCTTGGTGTATGTATATCTGATGACCTATTTTATGTAGAACGTTAACATTTGGAAAACTACTAGACACTTTGAATATAAATTCACCTATGAATGGACGTGGCACATCTGGGTTGAATTACTTATTGTTTACATTTTGGGACAAAGGCATAACTCGCATAGGATACGTTTGTTGAAAAAGGGACTTTGCACACAATTACCTCATCCTTTTGGCCAGTTTGTTTTAACAGCTAAGTTGTTTCAGCTTTATAGTTCCAAAAAAGGAACGGGTTTTAACATTTGGATATTTTCATTTTTCGATTTTTGACCTTTGTTGACTTTTGTTGACCTATATCTTTTGACCTGTATCACGTACAAGTTGAAATTTGGAACACAACATAACATCAATCATCAATCAACGTATGTCAAATAAATAAGGTGGGCGTGGCACATCCGGGTTAAATTACTCATTATTGACATTTTTGGCCACACGCATAACTCTCAAAGAATAAGTTTGTTCAACATGGAACTTTGCATACAATTACCTCTTGTTTTGAGCCACTTTGTCAAAGAAGGTCAGTTGTTTCAGCTTCATAATTCTAAAAAAGGAACAGGTTTTGAAAATTCACAATTTTAAATTTTTGACGTTGACTTTTGTTGACCTTGACTTTTATAGGATCAAACGTCATTGGCTATCTATTTATACTTTTATATTTGCTGTCCTATGTCAACTTCCGGTTGTAATGCCGTGTGCAATTAAAAATTTTGATGACTTATATCTCTTGATCTTGACGTTTTTAGACCTTCTCCTTTACAAGATCAAAGGTCATTGACCTTGGCTATCATGATCTGGCGTCTACTTTCGGTATTAGAATCTTCAACTTTAGACTTCTTGCCCTTGGCCTAATTGTACAGGTTGATTTTTTCAGCGTCCTTAGCAAATTGCTACATTTGCAAAGTCTCACTCTGTGCCACTAGTTGTCTTTGTAGCACGTAAACACTTTAGAAGACAGAATTCTTGACGGGTTTTGATGAAACTTGGTGTGGATGTTTGTAATCGCCTAAGGATGACACCTATTGAAAATCGGAAAATGTAAAGTATGAGTTATTGCCCCTGTTCTTGAAAACGCATTCAATTTTTAGCTCATTAACACCCTAGAAGGCACAATTCTTGATGGATTTTGACTGAACTTGGTGTGAGTGTTTTTTATCAACCAAGGATGAACCCTATCGAAGATAAGAAGAATCAAAAAATATTTAGTGCCAGGAAATTTTCTAAAATTGTTGGAACATGGATTCTCATATCTCAAAAATTCAAAAAGTGACAGAGACAATATAATGCCATACAAAAAATAATCACTTCTAATAATGACTTCTAAATAATGTGTTAGAATTGTGTCTTTGACCCGAGAAAAGTTTCATAAGAAACCTAAGGGGTATATATTTTTGAATGTTAATATGCAAAATACTGAATCTCGCGATATTTTTCTCTGCCCTAAGCATGATTCTTAGAAAGCAACGCACTGTTTAGTTCAAATTTGTTATTAGATTATCTTGGAAATCAACCTATTTTCTACATAATAAATCACTATTTGTTGTCTATTAATCATGAATTAAAATATTCAAACAGCCGTTGGTCATTAAAAACTTCAACAAAATATTTTAACCAATAGTCTGTCAACATTTCTTGTTGGCACAATACATGTATTAAACTACAGTTTTCATCTGATTTTAATGAAATTTGTTGTGATCATTTTGATTGGTGAGATCTCAGTCAAGACGAATTTTTTGTGATGAAAATTTCTTCAGTTATTCACTTAGTAAGGTCGCGTCAAAATTTGTTTATTGTTTATATTTGTTTACAAAAGCTTCAATTGTCAATGGATTTTGACAAAACCTCATGTGAGCATTGGATTGGACTATAAGTTTGACGATTTTTTGATGAAAATCATCGAAATAGTTTTTGAGTTATTGCCCTTGACTTTATTATAACTGGTCACAATGTGTGCATGAGCATAATAGATCTACAGGCAATTTTGATGAAACTTGATGTGAGCATATGAATCGATAAGATTTTGACGAAACTTGGTTTGATCATAGCATTTGATAGGATCTAGATCAAGTTGGAATTCGATGGATTTTTGATGAACAGTTTTCGAGTTATTTCCTTAACTGTTTTAAAACATGTCAAAATTTGTTTGTGAGCAAAATGTAAGCTGCAATTAGAAACCTTTTGGATCATTGTGAATTTGACGATTTATCGGTGAACCAATTACTTTCTAGTTATTGTCCTTGACTTAAAACCCATCAAAATTTGAAGCTTTAATACCTCAGTGTGATGAGTGGAAAAGTAAGGAGTTGATTACTCATACAATGAAGATTTTCGTGCTGCTCTTGATTAAATCTAAAAATGTATCAAAGCTTCTGTGTGGGTGTATGCTTACCTTGCATCTTATATTTATTTTAAGCAGTACATTATAATGCTGTTTAAAATAAACAATTGCAAATTAATGTTTTTTGAATAGTAAAATTTATACGCTGTGGGCGTATATTGTAATCACTCCGTGGTTCGCATTTGGCTTGTTCTCACTCTACAGGCTACAATTCTTTACAGATTCTTTGATTTTTATTTAGTGGGTCAATGTCATTATGAAGATAATCCCTATCGATTTTCGTGATGATCTGATAATTTTTCACCGAAATGTCGTTTCCATATTCACTCTATAAGCTATGTAGCGCAACTTTTGCTCACTCTTCAGGCTACAATTCTTTATGGATTCTTTTGATTTGTACATGCCCACACGTAGTATGGGTCATATTATCGTCCGTCCGTCCGTCGGGCGATAAAAACAGGTCATGATGTGAAATAAAGTGTGCTTAAAAATCTATAAACTAAATAAGAACCAAATGTGAATGGACAACAAACAATGATTTGTACTCGCAATCAAAGCTGTTGGTGGGCACATGTCACCTCACTTCACAAGGCTATCTTTTCAAAACTGCATATTTCTGAAAGTTAAAATTGAAATGAAATGAATGAAAGTAAAAGGTGAAAGTATGACTTTTTAAAAAAAAATTGCGAGTGTGAATAATTTGAATTTGAATCTTTATCCCGAAAGATGTCCAAACATAAACATGATGTTGTACGTTGTAAATGCAAAAGACGTATGGCAGCTCTGACAAACAGGTCCATTATTATTGCATCTTAAATTATTTGTAAAGTACCATTGAAATAAACAAATTGTTTAATGTCTTCATATCTTTATCGTTGCAGATGATGCTCGTCAAAATAAACGCCGTGTTCTCATACATTGTCAAGCTGGAGTGTCAAGATCTGCCACCATAACAATTGCTTACATATTGAAACATACCAAAATGACCATGACGGATGTCTACAAATTTGTGAAAGGCAAGCGCCCAATAATTTCACCAAATTTCAATTTCATGGGACAACTTATGGAATATGAACGAGACTTAAATAGTGGAGAAGCATTGCGTATTTTACAACCTCGTTTACAGGGAATTGAAAGTATTGTGTGACAGACAGTTGTATTTTAATTTGGTATAATTATTTGTGAGTAAGATAATAGAGAGAGAAGATGATAATACTTTTTCAATACATGTGGAGATGAAAGTGAGGATCTGATTGACCAATAGATCAATATCCCAGATGTGCCTTGATGTCAACGTTTACATAATTGAATACATGTATACTAATGAATCATTTTAAATGAACATTTTTTAAAGAGAGTATATCATTATCCTATGGATGTTTTTCATGGTTATATCATTCTGAAAGATAAGATCTAACCCAATGTCTTTTCATGGTCATACCATTGAAAAAGACAGATTTAACCCACCTAAACGGTTAGACTAACCCTTTATATTCATTTAGAAATAATTATCTCTATTAGTTACTTTTACTTTCTTTTCAACAGTCGAGGTTGACATTCAACTCGGCAACTCTGAGGAAGGGCACAAGCGCATGGAGTATCTGACAGGGTTATTCCTCAAGAAATTTTTGAAGATACAAATGATTTATTGCAGTCCGACACATTTTGGAGCACAAATGTTTAAAATCATATTTTTACTTTTGTTTTGTAAATGAAGTGGGTGCAATTGGTGTATATTTCCATGTATTAAGTGCGTGTAAGACTTATTGCAAGACTTATTGCGCCACCACTGCTACTGTGTAGCTCTGGAAAAAGCTGTAGAAAGGCTTATTGAAATGAATTTTTTTCTTGTCTAAAGATCAGATGAAGTATGAGTGGCTGGCAAATCATGGTCATTTTTTTTACTCAACAAAGTAAAAAAGATTGTTTAATTATTTTCTTAATTTAATAATGTAACTTTAATATAAAAACTACAAAGAAATTCGTGTTATTGAATGAAAAATAAATGAATGAATGAATGAATTATTTAGGGTGGTAAATTTTTTTATATGCCCACATGAAAGGGGGGATGTATATTGGCCTCACCAATGTCGGTCAGTCCACCCACAATTTCTCGCAAACACTCTACAAGGTACAATTCTTGATTGATTTTGACAAAACTTTGTGTGAGTATTCGTAATAACCCAAGGATGAAATCTATTGAAATCAGAAAAATCGAAAAATATTTGGTATTAGTATTTAGTATTTCAACTTCAAGCCCTCGATCTTTAAATCTTGTTCAATTTTTAGCTCGTAAACAATCTAGAAGGCACAATTCCTGAAGGATTTTGATGGGGGGTTTTGTCCCCCTTAAATCAAATCTTGCCTTTTCTTTTTCCTGAGTCAATAGGAGCGGCAGGTAACTAAGTCTGAGTGAATAGCAAACAGTGGTCATTCTGGTCAGGCATTTTATGATGGAGTAAGTGCACCAGTCAGCTGCTAGATTTTGATTATACGTAACGAAAAATAAGGTTATGGCTTTCAGGGCTGCGTTTTGCGAAATGGTTCAACAAAATACAAAGTATTCCTATCTGTAGGCCTAGAACTGTTTTTAAATATCTTTCTGTTTATTCTTAGCTGAGGATGAAACCAGACATCATAGTTTTTTTAAATTTAATTACATAAGAATAGATAATTTGATACAACTGAGTTCGTTGAAAATCAAAAAAAAGTCTGCAGTAAAGCGTCATTGGTAACAAAATTATTGGTCTGATACTGGATTGTAGTCTGTCCCGTCTCAAAATTCCAAAAATTTAATTGGTTGATTATAAATACTATCTAATAGACATATATTGTCCTAAATTGTATTCATGTGAATCAAACAACCAAACATAGGAAAAATAGATAAATATTTGACCAAAAAATCAAATTGCTTGATGGTTCCGACACTACTACGACTGACACTGGTATCAAAACCACAGCGGGCAACACAACGGATGCAGTACCAAGATGCTCTGAAAAGACAGGAGTACCAGGTGACATTGGAAAAGAAGACGTTCCAAAGCAACCGAGAATAAAATTTCCAGTGAAGTCTGGGCGCCATTTTAGTAACAGCTGGTATGATCGATTTCCATGGCTGGAGTATTCAGTGTCAAGGGACGCCCCTTTTTGATTTCCATGTCGGGTGTTTCACAATACATCTGCGGGTGCATAAAAATTCATCACTGAAGGCTACACAGTTTGGAAGCATGCTGTAGGTGATACTGGAAAGGGCCTCGAGAAGCATAACAATTGAGGTGTCAAAACAATTTCTCCAAGATAACGTTGTCAAGACAGAAAACTCCAATCTTGTTCTTCAAAAACTATACGAGCAGAAATTGGTTTCCCTAAATTATATGCACTGGCTGCAAGCGTTGCCACATTCGGTTCTAGTACCGCTGTTTGTGAAAGCAGCTTTTCAACCCTTACTCGCGTTGACTCACCACAACGACGATCTATGACTCAGCTTCGCCAGCGCAATCTTGTTCTTCTTGCCTTCAACAGGAAGCGTACCCAGAAAATTAACTCGGACGTATTTGTTCAACGTTTTGCCATAAAACATACCCGACTACATTTAAACTAAAACGGCAATAAAAATGTAACGTATTAAAACTTGTGTGTTTTAACAAAAATAATCTCGAATCTAAAATACTCCATGAAAGTACGTTTCCCGACGTTTAATCGTCTGTCAACGTGCATTGCTAAATTGAAAATCAGAAAAATCGAAAAATATTTAGTATGAGTTATTGCTCTTGTTCTTGAAAACTCGTTCAATTTGTGGCTCGTAGAAACTCTAGAAGGCATGATTCTTGCCGGATTTTGACAAAACTTGGTTTTATTATTAAGTACCGTGTTGAAAATTGAATATTGTATTCTAGAGGATTGTTACTTCCGGTCGAGGACAGGGGACGTGTTTATTGATAGCAGTCGAAAAACTTAATATTTTGTTTTTTCGTTGTTAATTTAAATTAGAACTTCTATACAGTGAAATAGCTAATGGGATAGTAAAATACATGTCAAATCTTCCTGATTCATATATGATTCATAACCTGATGTGCTGTAAAGACATAAGATTGTAGTGGATTGCAAAGCCGGTGAAAAGTTGTTTACATCGCCGCCATTTTGGTTACTACGGACTAAGATAAGTTTAAAAATTTAATACTACTTCAAGTGTAATTATTAATAGTGACGAAGTCTGGAACTGCAAAACTTGCAAAAATAGTTTCACTGACATCGATGATAAAGTTCAATGCGAATACTGAAGCAATTGTTTTTGTATCAAGTGTCTGAACCTTTCTAAAAATGAATACGAAACATTCAGCAATCCGTCTCTACATTGGTTTTGTCCAAATTGTGAGGGAAAGGTGCTAAAAAAATCTGAAAGCCGAAAGGGAAATTGAAGAACGATGTGCAAAATGTATGATGAAAATGGAAAACAGACTGATAAATCTGGAAACGGAAATTAAATCGAAAGTAAGCTCTGAACAAGTGAATGACATTGTTGATGGGTTCATGTGTTACTAATGAAGCTAAAATTGATTTTGAAAAATCTGTGGAGTTAAAAGTAGCAGAAATTAGGGACATCTCCAGCAGGGAGAAAAGTATTATTATTCATGGAGTACCAGAGCGACTTCCTTCTTCTCGTAAAGAAGCAGACACCCTGAAGAACAGTTTCATGATAAATCTGTCGAAGCAGAAGAAGGAAGCAAATTCTGCAACATCAGTGTGACCCATGATATGACAAAATCCGAGAGGGAACTTAATAAAAGCTATGTTTAGAGAAGCAAAAGAGAAAACAGAAAAGGACCAATCGAGAAACCATTTCTTCTTAGTTCGAGGACCACCCTGGGCAAGAAGAGTGGTAAAGGTATTAAAGGAGGCTTAATATCCAGTGCTGGCACTGTACATAAATCTTACATGAATCTTAAAAATGTGAGGGGAAGGGATAGAGATCATAAAGAAAGGACAAAGCGAAATTTTGATAACCATAATTCCTCACGTGATTTGAAAGAACTTAACCAAGGTGACAATATTAATATTATAGTGAAGTTAGATTGGGAAAAACGTGGAACTCCAGGAGTCGTAATACGCAAATGTGCTCAACCGCGTTCATATATGATTAGGACAAAATACGGATTATTCCAAAGAAATCGTAGACATTTATTTCTTTCTTAGTTCGATTTGCTGCTAATGCGTTCGATTAAGATTTTGATCCGATTGATATAACAATCATCAGGATGTGAATCTACAAGATCCACCTCCTGATATTCCGCAACTTCCAGTTCGTGTAGAACAATCTGTCTTGCGTCGCTCAGGTCGTACAATTGTTAAACCACGTGATCCAGGATCCGCCAACCTTTCTTCCTTCTGTGCGTTTTTGGACCAGCAAACCACCCCTCAGTCTCCATCCAAGTCGAGATGTGTATCCAGACCTTCCCCCCCTCGAACCAGATCCCAGTCCGTTCCCAATGCTACAATTCTAACATCTACCAAACCAGTACCAATCACACCGTCGACGACCATTATATCCGCTACCAAACCGTATTATCACCAAACCAAGGACAAATCATTATAGAAGCTACCTGCTCTAAAGAAATCTACCTTAATAATTGGATCATCTAACCTGAATCGAATTACCAAAACCAGTTCAGACACCGAAATACATTCTTACCCCGGTGCCCAAATCCATCACATACAGTCAATCCTGGAATCATACGACCATGATCCCAAACCTACTACCATTATTCTTCATGTAGGCCTCAACAAACGTGATCAGCTACCAAAGACCCCCTTTAACCAAGCCCAGAAATTAATCGCCACAGCCAACAAAACCTTCCCAAACTCCAAGATCCTCTTCACATGTATACCCATTTCAAATAAAATCTCGAAGAAAGCACAACAGAACCTCAGCACTCTCAACAACATGATGATGGAGTCCAGTATCAACAGCGCAACAATCTTACCACCCTACGAAGAAGAATTCGAACCAGTTGATAATCTTCATTGGTCTCCAGAAACAGCAAACAGCATCTATTTGTTTTGGATACACCAGCTTCAAGCATCGAGTAAGTCTTTAAACTAATTACTGGGGATAAAAATACTGAGAGGCCACCGCTAGGCCAAACTGTAGTTAACTTGAGCCGCAAAATTCTCACACCCCTTCAGCATCCAATCTTAGACCGTGGACTTAAGTTTATTCCCACACCAAAGATAGCTAACTTGAATTATTTCCGACCATCCATTGAACGATTTCAACGAAATCTTAGCTGCACATATTTTTTTCGAAACCACCCCCCACGTGGTGCTAGAACAATGTTTATTCGTAAATCTAAAGATCTTCTGATTTCAACCAAGCCGGTACGATTGTTTTCTCAAAACTGAAAGAGCGTGGGTACTCTAAACGACTTTTACGAAACATAAAAAATTCCACCTTAGCACAGATAGCAGCTAAAAACAGACTTTATGCCGAAGTACCTCCAGGTTTAAGAAGTGCTCCATGTTTGTCCAGTAGATGCAAAACATGTCCCTTTATATCAGAAACTCATTATTTTGTAAGCAACTCTACGAATAAAAGGTACCCGATCCAGGAACATCTAACACGTGAACATTCGAATGTAATATATTTAATTTCATGCAAGAAATGCCCCAAACAATATGTAGGAGAAACTAAGAATAATTTACGAACTCGCTTTAATGCTCATAGGTCAGACATCAAATTAAAGAAAGACAAGCCTGTTTCTAATCATTTCAACCTCGACGACCATTCAATAGACGATCTCACCCTAATCCCAATTGAGCGTATAGAAATTGTCTTGCCCGAAGATGAAACTACCAAATTCCGTCAATCTAGGGAGGCCCATTGGATTGAGACATTGAATACATCAAGACCTATAGGACTAAATATTCATCATAATGTAGGCATAGCACCCTTTGTTGTCCCGTTTAATACAACCAGCAATCGAGCAAGCAAGATAGTTCATGCCCACTATAAGAGCCTTCAAGAGAAATTCCCCCATGTCTATAAGCAGAAAATGATAGTTGCATATTCAAAAATTAAGAACTTAAATGATAATATTGTTCATAGTAAACTAAGGACAATCAGTACATAACAGATACTATACTTCTCGAGTTATTTTTTCTAATTTCAGGTCAGAATAAGAACAGAAGAAAACCCAATATCAAGACCCTGAATTATAATTTCTAAATAAAGTGTCTGCTCCACCCTAGGCCTGTACATTTGGGAGAATCAAACCCTCCCTTCCCCGAAAACTAATAAAGACTATAGCTATAAATAGAATATTGATATAGACTATAGATTGCATGCATGGTCAGTATTAGTATTGTAAAGTTTTCAGTCATCCATGCTAGTCATGTAACATGTGCTTCATGTCTTATATAAATCTTATTAATGCAATAGCTGTTTTCATTCCATCCTGATGAGTGAATGCCAGTCGGCCTCTGGTGATTCGACAAAATCACGGCCTACTGTCAAAATAATCTTCGTTAAAATGGACGCTGCAAATGTTGCTCCATTTCGTAGCAGACCAGTTAACACGAGTATTTTGAACATTTTTCTCCCAAATTCTTCTTAATTTTGGTTCACTATGGAATAGGTGAATGCTGATGTTCAAATCCTCATCCTTTTCATTGGAACAACCACTTACAACACACCTCCTAGGCATTTTTGCTAAATTTTATATATGTACTTTCCGCGTTCACAAGCGTAAGAAAGCAAGGTGTCGTAACCACAGTGACGTCACATCCGCCTTCTACACTTTCTCTCAACTATTGATCGTGGAGTTTCTCGCAGGAATATTTAACTACGTTGTTATTAGCTATTTATTTATCATATTTCTTGTAGGCTGCCTTTTGTTAAAGTTTCGGGAATTTTCCGCGAATAGTCTCTTGAATGTCGGCTTCTCTTTAATTGATTTATATGTTAGTGATAAATATAAATTGAACAGGGATACGCGATGGTTCAATACACTGTTATAGTGTATTCATTATTAATTTGAAATAGTTTAAAATATTTACTATATAAGTTCTAATATAATGCGTATTTAGTTTATTGTGATTTATTATATAACTATAGATACACGTATTCTATAAGTTGAATTTTCTTGCGTTTGTTTTATTGTATCTGGAAAGCGACACAATTAGGGAGCCGGTATGTTACTGTCACAAGCTACGAACACAGAAATTCTGTATAAAACTGTTCATTTTTTTAGACGAATGTATTTCCTTTAAAGGGACGCATTTCCGCTCTCTTCCCTCAACTATTTTCCCTGTTATTTTGATGTTCTTTTGCGTCGTTAGTTTGTCGGTTTCCCTCGCTGAAATTTTCCATATCACCCACAATCCTTTGCGAGAGACTTATTAGTGCTTATTTTATTATTTCAGTTAATCGTCTACGTCTTGTTTATAACTTAAAATTATTCTTAACCAGCTGAATCTGGGTATTAAAGATTGAATTCAGAAGACTGGTGTATTCATTTGAAAGAATAATTTGGGCTGAATAGACAGGATAGACGCATTAAGATAAATTAGAACCACACGCCATTTATCCAAGACCTGTCAGCCAAGTCAGAGTTTTAAAACGATGTAGGCCCTACCTTACGAATGGTCGGAAGACTATCAGCACGTCTTTGAGCATTTAAAAACACTTATATCAATGGAAGCATCCTTGAAGTACTATGACAAAACAGCACCCACATACCTAATGGTAGATGCCAGCCAACTAGGATTGGGTCAGCTCTCGTGCAACCTGATCGTAAATTAGATGGTACTTTGGTTTAAACAATATTTATTTCTATATTAAATGAAATTTTTACAGAAAATAATTAAGGTTTCGGAAACAAGCCGAAGCTTATGCTAATCCGGCACCTAAAAGTACCTAGATTACACAGATTTACACAGTTAAAGGAAATAATCCTTGGCCCGACCTCAACGTGATCTTCTAACTTATCTACGAGCCTTTGGTCTTACCTTGACGAACTCGGCATTGAGAATTATAGAGGGGAATCGTTGCCAAAAGTATTCACAAAGTCAAACTTGAAAACAAGGCGTCGACTTTACAAAGACATATTTCAACATTGCACAATTACAAAATAAACCTTCCTAACGCAGACGAGGAACATTTTAAGCGAACAATCGTAAAAATTTTGTTTCGATCATTTTTTTCACCGTCTGCGGATTACAGAAACACGAACAAAAATGTTCGTGAGAATTGTTCGTGAAATCAAACATGTTTGATTTTTTAAAATTGTTCGCCTCCCGAACAATTCTTTGTTCGCCGTCTGCGTTAACGACGAACATTAGCGCCGAACATTCATCGACGAAAGACCAATCAGCGATCGAAGCCAGACCACATGACACTCAAAATGGCGACGTCCAGTGAATCCGCCAACACAAAATTTTGGACTGTGGAGAAGGAGCAGATTTTAATAGATATGTGGTCGCAATCTGCCTGTTTGTTTATGATTTCTTCGCCCGACTATTCGGGTATAGGAACAAGGAAGTACGATGCGATGCAAGAAATAGCACAAGCCATGGAAACAACCGGTAAATTTACCTCCTTTCGCCCAACCTCGTGTGACTGTAGTGTATTTTTTACCAACATCGATATAAACTTAAAATTTTTAGACTTCCAACAAAGGGAGATATTTTTCAATAAATAATACAAACATGGCCTAGCTTAGCCTAAATTGTTGTGTTGTCAGCGTTTTTTTCCAGTTCAGTTAATTTTGCAAAACAGGCGGCTTATGACGCTTAAACTAATTAGTGTGATACCTGGTTTTATTTTGAAATTATTTCAGTGAATATGAGCTTGCCATGAACAGTTTATTAAACTTCCCGATAAAATACTTACATGTACACAAAGAGAGACTGAGCATAATATAGGCCTACGACAATTTGCCATAATAATTTCACATGTATATCATTTTCTTCTCATTCTTATATTTGTAGTTGATGATATAAAAAAGAAAATGACGTCTATCAGGGCAGCATTTAATCGTGCTAGACGCTCACCCCCTAGTGGCAGCGCTAGCAAAAAAGACGAGTGGCTGATAAAAAACCTAGATTTTCTGAACTCGTCTTCAGGAATCTCCAGGTGTTAAAAAATATTTTTTTAGATATCTAAAATTTTATTTTATTGATACATTCAGATGATACATGACAAATACATGTAGATTAAATCATAGAGTCCTGCCAGTGAACTCTTCCATGTTCTGAATTAAAATAGATTTTCAACATCTCTCTCTGCCCTTTAGCACTGTGCGAAAAGTGTCTGGCTGTCGTTGGTTCTATATCAGGTAAGGAGAAACCTTCTCTCCAGCTTCCGGGAATCATACGATGATTTTCAATATCTTCAAGATCAACCAAACCCGTCTGAATTTGATTATTGTCTAACAAAAAATTGTGTAAACATCAAGCAGCTAGCACAGCCTTTTCCACCTTGTCGGGATCAAGGCAAATTGTAGTGAGAAACGGGCGAAATCTGTTTGAAAGAATACCAAACGCATTTTCAACAACGCGTCTTGCTCTCGAAAAACGGTAGTTGAAAATGCGTTGGTCTTTGGTAAGGCTGCGCATTGGATAGAGTTTTACCAAGTCTAGCCGCAATGGAAAAGCATCATCCCCAATTATATGATAATTACACTTTGGCGGTTTGTTATATTCGTCAATTATTTGTTCTGTAAGGTCTCCTGGTGGCGGAAATGACACACTGCCAGAGTCCATTGCTTCTTTAAGTGCCGAATCCGAAAAACGCCTGCATCCCCACTGCGACCTGTTGACCCAACATCAACGAAAACAAATCTATAGTTGGCATCTACGAGTGCGAATAGAACAATGCTAAAATAATGTTTATAGTTGAAAAATGTTGAACCAGAATTTGCTGGTTGTCGGATAGAGATGTGTTTGCCATCTAATGCACCCAAACAAAATGGATAGTTCCATTTTTCTTCGAAATCTTTGCTGATTTTCAGCCATTCTTCTTCAGTAGGGGGCACCTGAAAAATAAAAAAGTCATTGCTCAATACATTATTTTGTGGTCCTTTTTTCAGGCTTCGCGTCCTGATACTCCGAATTCAGAAGCGGACAGTCAAGAGGTAGAAGATGAATTAAGCGATACCGGTAGCTATCATGAATATGTGGTCGTATATTGTCGTCGCCCCTGTCCGTCGGTCCGTCCGTCAACATTTCTTGTGAGCACTATAGAGATGACAGTTTTTATCTGATTAAACTTGGTGTGATGCTTTAGATTGATAAGATCTCGGTCAAGTTCAAATTTGACATATTTTCGATGAACGGTTTTTGAGTTATTGCCCTTGACTTTGTTAAAACGTGTTGAAATTTGTTAAAAATAGTTCGTGAGCAGGATTGAAGCTACAGTTTTCAACCAATTCTGATGAAACTTGGTGTGATCATTGGAATTGATAAGATCTCGGACAAGTTCTAACTTGACGCATTTTCTATGAACGGTTTTTGAGTTATTGCCCTTGACTTTGTTAAAACGCGTTGAAGCAGGATTGAAGCTACAGTTTTCAACCGATTCTGATGAAGCTTGGTGTGATCATTGGAATTGATAAGATCTCGGACAAGTTCTAATTTGACGCATTTTCGATGAACGGTTTTTGAGTTATTGCCCTTGACTTTGTAAAATCGCTTCAGTATTTGTTAAAAATAGTTCGTGAGGAGGATTGAAGCTACAGTTTTCAACCGATTCTGATGAAACTTGGTGTGATCATTGGAATTGAAAAGATCTCGGACAAGTTCTAACTTGACGCATTTTCGGTGAACAGTTTTTGAGTTATTGCCCTTGACTTTGTTAAAACGTGTTGAAATTTGTTAAAAATAGTTTTTGAGCAGGATTGAAGATACAGTTTTCAACCGATTCTGATGAAACTTGGTCTGATCATTGGAATTGATAAGATCTCGGTCAAGTTCTAACTTGACGCATTTTCGATGAACGGTTTTTGAGTTATTGCCCAGTTAAAACGTGTTGAAATTTGTTAAAAATAGTTTGTGAGCAGGATTGACGCTACAGTTTTCAACCGATTCTGATGAAACTTGGTGTGATCATTGGAATTGATGAGATCTCGGACAAGTTCTAATTTGACGCATTTTCAATGGACGGTTTTTGAGTTATTGCCCTTGACTTATTGCCCTAGCCAAATCATTAGATTCTGGTGATAAAGAAAAAGATCAACAAAAATCAACATTAACAGCTCTAAATGATCCATGCTCTGCATTTGGACAATATGTGACGCAGAGTTTGGCTGCAATGAATGAAAAAAACCAGGCTTCTAGCCATGAATAATATCCAAAATGCCATATTTCAGGCACAAATGACTCAATTTCAGCCTATCTCTTGTGCCCCTCCTATTCCACTGGCAAAATATAATCAAGGAATAGGTTTCTCCCAACCAAACATGACAAATTCGTTTTCGGAGCAGTTGAATTATACTTCACTCTAGAACACATTTTAGTGCATTTAGTAGGCCTATTCCCTTGTTGCTATAACTAAAAACAAAATATTTTAGATGGTTAGTAGGCCAGTGTATTATTTTTTATTGTAGTAGCAGCAATATAATTTTTGGCATTAACAGAAAAAAATATTTTCTGGTAAAGTGGCAATCAAGTAGCAGTAATACTATAGTGTCCAGTTGAAATATAACTTTTTAATGGCAGTAGGCCTTTTAATTTTTTTGTACATCTTTTACCTGAAGGTAATCATCTTTCAGACAGTTGTAAATAGCCAAGCAAGTTTCTGCAACAATACTGGAAATAGTTCTTTATCCTATTCTGTAGGCAAACGTCAAACTGTGAAATGTCTCTCCTGAAAAAAATGTATAGGTTTGGTTAAGATTTTGTATGCTTTTTGACTCTTTTTTGAATGATGAAAATCAACTAGACGGATGAATGTTCAAACAGTCACAGGTAGTTATATAAGAGATTGTGTGGAAACTTATGATGAAATATTCAACGATACAATCGTCATCTAAAACAATTATAGTGCCTATGTAGATACGACGATAAAGTTTATGTCGTGTGCTTGATTTTTCAAAGAGCCGTTCCTATTTTGAGAAAAAAATGCTCCGCAAGCAGACCTGCAGGGGTAGAGGGACATGAAATATTGTTTTAATTTTAGGAACCAAAAGTAAATTGCGGCCTGGGGAAAATGCAAGCCATAGGCCTAGTAAATGATAGATATTATAATTTATTTCACTTTTGGATTACTAACCTGTAGCTAAATATCTTAGAGTAACACCAAGTCTCTCTGCTGGACATATCGATTTTCGCATGTTTGTGTCTCTTTTCTCAATATTGGGCGCAATCAACCTCAATATTGTGTTGAACCCATCTTTGTCAACCCGAAAATATCGCCGATACATTTCTGGGTCGTCAGCCGACAGCTCCTGTAAGGTTGCCGAACACACCATGCTCTTTACGACGCTGAATCCAGGTACGGACCCAAATGCTCCTATTTCGCCGTCTACGTTGGCGTCTTTTTAAAATTAATAAAATAGCTAACGCAACTTTACATTTTCTTCTTGACGTCGCCATTTTAAGGTCATGTGATTTTCCGTGACACTGGTGTATTGTTCAAGCTAAATGTTCGTCGTCTGCGGAATTATGTTTGTCGTCTGCGGATAACGGAAAACAAATATATTTGTTCGATGTTCATGTTCGTCGACAGAAATGTTCCTCGTCTGCGTTGGGCTTAAAATCAAAAAGTCAATGTACTACTTTTCAAACTTTATTTCACATCAGACACCATTCAAACTTTCCTTTACGAAAATGAATTCTTAACTTTGCATTATTGACAATATCAACTATTTCTTCTTGACTTTGCATTGGTGAAAGATGTAAGTTCGACCACTGTATTCTTAAGAGCTGTAAAGTCAACTTCTGCATTCTTAAACGTTTACCATATAAGGTAACGTGACCTACTTCATTACATAATCCGGAAATTCACGGAAACTAACGGAAATATAAATCAACAATTGCTCCTTGTCAAAGGGATTTAACACTAAATAAGCCTCAAAACCGGATGTTCAAATGCGGCATTGGTCAATTGACACTTCGTCATTACTTCAGTGGCCGGCCAATTTTTATGGCCGATGGATACACTAATTTTTTGGATTGATTGTAATTGTTGTAATTAAATCAAAAAATGAAAAATTTGTAATTCATTTCTTATTCAAATAAAACCTCTAAAATGTCGTGTAATGAATAGAATCATTACATAGTTCTCAACATTTCTTTGGCCAGTGACGGATATCCAATATGGGTATTGAAAAATGGCTAATTTTTTCCAATGGTCTCCTTTGGAATTATGAATGCAATGTTAGTGCTATTGAGGTCCTGAGATGGAATTGGCACAAACTCAATAACATGGTGCCTTCAGACCTATAAATATCTCCAAAATTCCAACATAATGGTATTTTCATGCCTAACTCTGTCACTGGCCAGTCAATGAGGAAGCCCCTACATGGCCAATTTTTGAAATATGCAAAAAATGTTCTGCTATGGAATTATGAATGACATTTTTGGTGCCAATGAGGTCCTGAGATGCCAATCTAACATATATAGGTGTATAATGGGGAGAAATGCTTTTTATTCCTGTAATTTCTCAAATATGGCCAGTGACGAATATCCAATTTGGCGGACTGGCCAGTCAAAGACGAAGCCCCTACATGGCCAATTTTCGCACAGTTCACAGTAATTGGAATGGGGCAGATTTTTGGATGGAATTGGCACAAACTCAATAACATAGTGCCTTCAGACCTGTGAATATCTCTAAAATTCCAATATAATGGTACTTTCATGCCTAACTTTGTAGGGGCTTCTCCCCATTGTACACCTTAATGTGTTAGATTGACATCTCAGGGCCTCAATGGCACCAACAATTGCATTCAAAGGAGACCATTGGAAAAAATTTGCCATTTTTCAATATCCATATTTGATATTCGTCACTGGCCAAAGAAATGTTGACAACTATGTAATGATTCTATTCATTACACGACTTTTTTGAGGTTTTATTTGAATAAGAAATGAATTACAAATTTTTCGTTTTTTGATTATTTTCCATTTCATTTCATGGGGAAAATGCGCCTCTAATTGAAAGCTCCCATAACATAAAAACCTAAACATCCTACATTTCATAAATTCTTACAGCAAAAGACCTAAATTCTTACACCTATATTCCCTACATTACATAAATTCTTACACCCCCTACATTTCATACACTAAAAACACCTTCAATCAATTTCCTACATTCCATCAAAAAAGCAAATTTTAAACCTTAAAAATGGCAAATAAAATACTTGATCCAATCTTTAGATTATACGATCCAATTCGTTATTCATTTAACAAGAAAAAAGAGGATTATATTATCATCTCACCCACTGTTGGTTCTAAATCCCAATTGAATGATGGTGGTAGAATTACCTTCGAAATAAATTCATTATCGAATTGGTTGCTTCTTTCCGATGCTTATTTCAGATGCGATTTCAAAATCAAAGACGCCACTCAGAATCAAGTTCCACAAACAAATACAACGTTAGAAAACAATTTCTTTCCATCTTTATTTAGCGAGATGGTTTTGGAAGCTGGTTCAAATCTGATAGAAACAATCAAACATCCTGGGGAATTCGACACAATGTTGAAAACAGTTTTATATCCTAACGATTTCGATTCAGTCTCAGGTTGGATACCCGATGTTGGCGATGGAAGTATTTTAAAGGAACCGGTAAGAAATCTTGCAAATGATGCCGATTTAGCTAGAGTGAGAGTTGTTGCTCAAAACACGATAGAAAGAGTAGGACGAGCAGTTAATCATGGATTCGAAAAACGAGTACTTCAGTATAATAATGTTGTTGAGAATAATAGGTGGGGTAATTACGTAAATTGGAAATTATATCCTTTACTCGGTCTATTGGAACATAGAAAAGTTTCCATAGGCTTAACATATAAAATTCAAATTCAAAGAGAAATCAACGACGATAAGATATTCTTTGGAGAGAATGGTTCAGATGTAAAATTAGAAATAACGAATCTCCAACTTTTCATACCGTTAATAACACCATCAATTGAAGTAGAAACGAAAATATTCAACTCGTTAACTAAAGATATTGAAATAGCTTTTCTTCATCGTAACACTGTAGGTAGCATAACTTTAACTGGAGAATCCACCACATGGCCAATCACTAACACTATTAAACCAGCAAGATATTTAATAGTTGGTTTCAAGAACTTACCAGATTCTCAAACGAATAACAATAATGTCTTTAGAGTGGCAATGAACCAAACTCAAGATCCTTTAATCCATAAAGTTCAAGTAAGATTGAACAACGATAATTATCCTAACCAACCTTTAACAATTAATCCAACCACAAAGGATTATAATGACTTGTATAGAAACTATAAAAATGTGTGTGAATTATTCGGAAATCTACCTCAGTTTGAATATGTAGATTTTGCACTTAATCATCCAATCTTCTGTTTTGATCTTTCAGCTCACCAAGAAGATCTTTTCAAAACAGGAGTGAACATAAATATTCATATTGAAAAAACACAAGGAGATGTAACAGGTTATTGTTTATTATTATTTAACATTTAATTAAAATAGCAGATAGAAGAATGATAAGAATTGAGTAAAATATACACATTTAAAAATGAAACCAGAAACTTTAGTTATGAAAATAATAGAAGCTATTGAAACAGCTTCACCAACTACAATAACTTATAATGGTAAAAAAATCAGCATAACTAAAAAACTTATTGATAAATACAAATATTGTAAAGTCAGAGACGATATAGACTTAGAAAGAATTGACGCGAATGCAAAAGAAGGTGGATTTATATTTTCCCTACCTTTAATATTTAGATAACTACATCGAAGGAAAGAAACCAACGGATATAAAAGTTTTTCTTACGAAAAATGTTAATGATCTAGATTTGTCTCAATGTTGTTTGACGACTGCGTGGCGCAAAGAAATCAAGCCGTTCAACAAGAATTCTTCACGAAAGGAAGACATCACAACTGTCACTGCATATACCAATCCCAATCTTTTTACGGGATGGATTCTATGTTCATTAGAAAAAATGCAAATTGTTTTTTATTATTTGAATTAAACGACAAAGATTTATCTCAAATCGTTCAATCGATAAATCACGGAATGGACAGAGATGCATTTAAAAAGGTTTGTAAAGCTCAATGGAGATATCCAGATGATCATGGATATGTATTTGTAAATACTAGAAAACCTGCGGGTGAAAGAGTTATGAACGATATATGTTAATTTTATTTTTTTAAAAATGGATTGGAATAATATTTTAAAAATAAATAGAGAATATATCAAAGCTAAGAATAAAATAAAAACCCAAGTTGAAAATAACAGATTACAACAACTCGGATTAACGGAAAATCTACAGACTCTATTTCAACCCATATTAAAATCTCAAGAGGATATTAAAAAGAGACTCATCCCTCCTATAGAACCTATAGCTCCTATAGAACCTCATCAAATAGAATATCCCATTAAAGATGATGAAATCATAATTAGGACATCAGATGATATAAATCGTCTTTTCTCAAACCCTAAAGCAGATTTACTAAAGAGTATTACACCAATCATTGATGATGAGGGATTATTGTTTAATGGATTTAGAATTAGATTTAGGGCAAATTCCCCTATATTCAAAATCGACACAAAAAACTTAATATTTACATTAACGACAGGATTAATAGATTTAATGAATGGCGGGTATATTGGCACCGATTACAAGGATTTACTAGCATACTCCAAATTTCTAGATGCAATAAGAAAGTCGGGACCCGAAACAAGAAGATTGAAAGCAGTTGAAACATATTTAAATAAAGTTATTCCTGATGAAGAGGATTCAGATGTTAATCCAATCATACAAGAAATAGACGAATTCGAAGACCTGATAGCTAGAGAAAAAAGTGGACAAGGCATAACGTTTTTATCCGACAACAACGAAGAATTGCTTAATAGATTACGAGTAATATTAGCGGCAATGAAGGAAGGACATCGATCGCACAGACAATTTAATGAAGTGAATTGTATATTAAAAAGACTTCTAGAGAAAGGTATCATAGATAAAAACGATTATAAAAGCGTGATTGAAAATAGTCATTAAAAAATGTCAAATAAAGAACAACTATTCGTCATCACCTCGAATAAATCAGACATCAAATTATCTCTAGATTATGAGTATGAACTCGATCGCAATCAAGAATATGAATTGGGATTAAAGTATTTCTCTGTTTACAATTCCATTAGAAATATCAACGAAAAAAATAACCAAATAAAAATATCAACAGATAACGGAGTTACATTCAAAACCATACGTTTACTACCAGGAAGCTACGAATACATAGCCATTAACGAATACTTATCTGAATATGCAGGAAGCGTCAATGGTAAAAACAATATCGAATTCGAAGGTAATTTGAATCTAAACAAAATAAAATTGATAGTAAGAAATAATAGTCAAGTTGATTTCAACGTAGAAAATTCATTGAATACTTTAACGTCAGATTATTTACAGTCTTCCAACATTCACTGTTCCTATTGGATATAGAATTATACAGAAACCATTTCAAACGACGTATTTACCACTTAATTCCTTTATGATTAAAGATATAAATCTGGAAATCAAAGATGGTAAAAATAGGTTTATAGATTTTGGTAACGAGGAAATTGTTATTTAACTTCATTTAAAACAAAAAAAATAACACTCTTCATTCTCTTCTTGAATAGTTAGATAATCGAAATCATCAAATTCATAGTTTTCATCCAAACACATCTCATCTTTATTGTTGTAAGGATACATAATTCCTTCACTGTTTGGTGTTTTTCTCTTAACGAGATTCAGATAACTTCTAAAAACTTTCTTTTGTTTTTCATTAGGAATAACTATTCCATTAGTAAAACTTTTTACCCAAGGTTTCTTAAATTCATTCGTTACGTCATGTCCACTAGCTAATTGAATGTAGTCTTCTACCTTAATCTTATAGTTAGAGTAACCCTTAAACGTTTTCTTTTCTTTTAAAACACCATCGAAAGTTAGAATGATATTGTATTTTACTTTTGGCGCTAAATATAAACCAAATATGATTCCACCATCACCGTAATCATTCTTCCCTTTGCTATATTCGTTTTCAGACACCAACCCAGCTTCATTTAATTTATCCCAATTACTAGACGAAATGTATAAACTATCGGTATCTGTATAGTATATTTCAGGCATATAAAATCCATCTATGACGTGAATGAAATTGTTCCTTATTTTTTTACTGTGAGATAATATAAATGCACCTAAATGAGTGGGTGTTAATCTAGTAAAATCCTTTGGAGGAACAAACTCTTTTTCTTCTTCATTCATCTCAACTATATATTGACTATCATTTACTTTTTCATAGCTTTTGACGTGTGAATCGAAGTTGGCTTTAAAAGTCGCTTCACTCCATAGATGTCTCGATGTATTTATATCCTTCTGAATAGATTTACCGTATAAGGAATTACCTAATAATTTCATGCAATTACTAGCAACCATATCTCCTTTTTTGTATTTATTCCTTAATTCCTTCAAAATTAAAATATAATCTCTGTATGGTGGAGTTTTAAAATTTTTTTCGTAAACTATACCATCTAATATTCTAATAATTTTACCACCGGATTTCACTTTTTCTTGAATATCAACTGATGTTAAAACGTCGTGACAGAAACCATTTCTGAACCTGATTTTAGTGCCAGTTTCCTTCTGACCTATTCTATTCGTAAAAGTTATTTTATCTTTAGCTGGTATGGGTTGAAAGAACATTTTTTTGGGATATTCAAACCAAACTTTTAAAATAGCAGTTCTAGGTCTGAATTTTTGTTTATTGAAGAGTTTTACAAATTCTTTTTCTTCTTCTAGTAGAAACGCTCTTGCACTTTCCGCTTTAGGATATTCACCTTCTGTCATGGCTGAAGCGTATAACCCATTAGCGTCAAATGCCATCAGTTTAGAATAGTCCAGTTCTTTGAGTTTAGCGTGAACTTCCGTTTTATCTTTTGGGTTAACACTGTATTCTTTGAATAAATCTATTATTCCTTCAGTGTCACTTTCATTGTATTCTTTTAATATGGCGCAGATCTCATTCATTTTATTCGTTTCAAATGATTTTCGATTTGCCGAAACTCTTTCTCCTTTAATACTTTGTCTGATAAAATATCTTATAAAAGGGTGAGTATGCGAGTAAACTTTTTCTACGTTTTGTTTTTCCGTATGTTTCGGAACCATTCTAGTACTTTCATACCATTCTTCTTCAACCATTTCTTTATCGTAATGATATAAATAATACCAACCCTTTAAAGATAAAGGAGCCGTTAGATTATTGGAAACGTTTTGGAAGACAGTTTTTTTCATGGCTTGATTGTATTTTATCAAAAAAGCTCCGAGACATAGAGTATCTCTTTTAGCGTAAGGTTCCCATTCGTGTCTTAAAGATTCCCAATTATCTTTAGTGTATTTTGCAATATTAATATCCTCGATCTTTCTCAAATTCATTGGTAGATTAGATGATTTTCCCCATGCTGCCAAACTAGATGATTCGTGTTGATAGGAACATGTGAAATTAATATTTTGCAAATAATTAGAGTTACCCTTTATTTCTTTCTGTCTTTTCCGTTTTTTCTGTAAATATTCATCAGTGAATGAATTAGTTAAAGGTAGAGACAGAATTCCTCTAGCTGTTTTTAAAGGGCACTGTGTTAGTTTTTTTACGTTTTTGATCATGATCCAGTTATCAAAACCACTGCCGTTATGGGAAATTAAAGTTAGTCTTTTCTGATCTACTTTTCCTAAACGTTGTAACATTTGATCTATACAATCTGTACCTACAAATATTTCTACTATATTAGTCTTGAGTTTGTTGTAAAATTCTTCTGAAATGGGATCTGACGGCTTAAAATCTAGAGTCTCATTAAAATCACTTAAATCACGTAAGTAATTATTATAATCATCTAATCTTTTCCTCAGTTTTTCCAAATTGACTAAAGTACAACAATAAGGAATGGCTTTATTCGTTTCTTTTTCGCAATAGGTTTCGCAATCCCATGCGTATAAACAATAATCGGGAATGGTTGGAAAAACGTTTAGTTTTAGAAGTGAAACTTGCGTTACCGCATTATCATCTTCACAAGTTCTCCATACGTTTTCATCGTAATTATCTTCTATTTCTTTAATGCCCAAAGCTTTGTTATTTCTTCTTATCAAACAGAAATGATCTTTGTGTAAATAAAAAACCCAATCTAATTCTTCGGTTACTTTCTGTGGTTGAAAATGTCTATGTTTGGGCATATATATTTGAAAATTAGTATTAAATTTCTTATTGAATTCGCAAATTCTAGCAGTTGTCATAACTCCTTTTCTGTTTGATTTTTGAAAACTGTTGATGAAATCTTGAAATTCTCTCGTTTAGTCTTTGTTCAAAACATAATTTACGCACTTTACAAAGCAGCATCCATCGTTCGGTATATAACAATTTATACCGATATATTCACCACTACCCTTTTTTGATCTTTTTATTTCTTTGAAATTGTTTTTACGGAAAATGATTTTTCCTGTGAAATACCAATTGGAGGCATCTGATTTTTCATCCACTGTAGCGAAGAAATTGAGAAAAGTTTTGGTATTAAAACCTACAAAAATAAATTCATTAGAGATAAGGTGAATAACATCGGAAAAAAGTTTATTTGATATGAATTTATCCATATTTTTTAATTCATCAGAGATAATCTTGTCAATAGTCTTGTCTAAAATCTTGTCTAAAATTTTCACTGGTATGAATTTTTTATCGTCTACAATTTCAATTTTATTCATATTTTTAAAGCAACTATTTTTAACTAGGAATTTTTATTGTCTCGAAAAAAAAATAAATCATAATGAGCTTTGATTACCACTAGGGTTTTTATGGAAAATCATTTTTCCTGTGAAATACCAATAAGAAATATTCGAATTAGCATGATTACCATCCAGCGACATGAAGAATTCGACAAAAGACATCAGGACCTACAAATTTTATGTCTTGTAGGTATTTTCCATCATGAGTTACCTTTCTATCTAATTCAATTTTTCTGTTAAATGATACAAATTCGTCAACGACTTGCTCAATAACATTGGAAAAAAGTTTATGTGATATAAATTTATTCATATTTTTAAAGCAACTATTTTTAACTAGGAATTTTAACTTTTATTGATGATATTTCTACATCAAATTTATCTAAAATTTCATTGAATTCTTCTAATTCTTCAATGGTTATGTTCTTATCCTCTCTCGATCTTTCGAAAAAAATGAATAATTTATTAAGATATGTATTTAAAATTTTTGTTTTCCTTTTATAATAAGCTTTCTGTTTTGATGTAAAACCTAAAGTAATCAAACCACAAGATGAAGTTTGAACGGCAGTGAACGAGGCTAATACTGTTGGGACGATGATTGGAAGCATTAATCCACCGGTTACGGCTGTTGCCACCGTTATCCCTATTGTTAAAACTGTACTTAATGTTTTGAAAACAGAATCGATTTTACTCCATGTTTTTCTACATTTGTTGAATTGTTTTAGTTTTTCTTTTAGTTCATTTTGTTTTTCTATCATATAGTTTTTTCTACTTTCGAGTTCCATTTTTAGGTAATTAAATTAAGTGAATTTCTGATATAGCTAAATCACTAAAAAAAATGCATACTTACTAAGGATATTTGTTCTTTCGAATCATTAATCTTATTCAGATGAACTGAAAATTTTGGTTTAGTGTTAATAGTTAAAAACATAGTAACAAATGCATCATCTCTTATCAAAAAACTTTTTTGTTGTTGACTTTTATGAATATCGAGTGAGGTAAATATATCATTATCATCAACAAAATATAGTTTTACGTATTCAAAGTCTGTTGCTCGTAAAAACTGATAAGTGATTATATCTTTTTTTTTTCTGGTTCTGGATTTCTAATAATAATTGCTGATGGTGGAGTTTCCGTTTCCAATAACATATTAAAATCATTCAATGAAAGTACATCTTTTCATTATCTGGTATGATTAACATTCTAAACCTATCTATATATTTTCTACTCGTTTTAATTTCATATAAGTGTCGTCTCTTGGTGTTTTCATCGTTAATTTCTAATTCTTTAGTTTCTACATTTGTTGTACCATTGATAAACTGAAAAACTTTGCGAGCGTTAAATTGAGGTTTAGATGAAAATCCTGGGTTTTGTCTGAAGAATATTGAATCAACTTTTACCTGAAAAGGAAAAGTTATTTCAATTGTAAGTTTTCCTCGAAATCTAAAATACATTGGTTGATGATGTGCAACATCATCTGGTTCAAAAATTGTTTTGGGATAAATAGTATAATTTGGAACAGAATATACTCTTATATTTGCTGTAAATCCATATCTTTTATATTCATAGTCTTTTGATCTATCAATATTATCAGTAATAGAAGCATCGTAATCTCTCAAATTTCCAAATGGAAGAGTAAAATAATATGATTCTTTCTTGAGAAACTTTTTTTCTAATGCTAGTATATTTTTATCCTGTTTTAAAACTAGGTTATTGATAGTGGTTATCTGTTGTTGAATAACACTATCATCAATGTTCTGTATTTGTTGATGAATATAGGTTTTGATTTCGTCTATGTTTTGTATTTGTTGTTGAATATTTGTTAGTTCTGTTTGTAATTTGTCTTCACTTATACCTGGATTAATATTATCTATTAGTTGTTTAAGATCTATTTTTTGCTTTGTAATCTTATCATCTAAAGTTTGTAATTGAGTTTTATCTACTACATTGACTAATTGTTGTTGAATAAAATTTTTTAAACTTGTTACTTCTTGTTGTAATTTAGTATCATCAATAAAATCTTTATTATTTAGTTGACGTTTGAAGAACGTCCAACAAAGACACCTACCATATTGCGTATATACTCTGAATACAATAAGAGCTTCGTTGTATTTTAGCCGCCATAGGAAATATATCAACCTTTAAAGATGCGTGCCCTTATTTTCATTTATAAAAATGAAAATGCTAATATAGGCTAGTTATATGAACATAAACAAGAGGTGTTTTAATGATAAATACCAGTTTGTCTCACATGTACAGCTAAATTAAAAGATAATTAGGCCTACCAACAGAATTCAAATGAGTGACAGATGAAAAAAGGTCAAAAAGTCTTTTTTTGTATTTGTTTATCCAGACTGTACATACTTAAACATTAATGATTGGTTAAAACTTAATTATATGCAATAAGAACATAATGATATTATTAAGAATACATGATAATTCATAAGAAACACCCATTAATCAAATAGTTTGCTTAATTTGACACTAAAAAATAAGGAAACCTATCTTTAATGTTTGTGATAAACATTGGTAAACAGAACTGAGCAACTCAAGTAAGAGACTGACAATATGACCTGGGCTTTACCCTGATTAAAAATTGAAAAGCGGTGCTAAACATTAGCACTATATTTTAGGCCTACTTAAAATGTTGCATAGGCCCCTATGTCCGTATGCTAGTTTCAGCATGATAACTTCAGCCTGGTCATGATAGGCTATATAGAATTTTTTTGTCTAAAATCTATTGGACATTGACATTTGACAGTTTTCGATGAGATTTCTTGATAAAGTTATTAGGCTACGTTTGAATTTTGTGATTTTATTTTACTATTATTCTGTCGCCATTCAGACGTTTCGGAGAGTTGGTGAATTCTGAAATGTAAACCCACCGCTGGTTTTTGTGTCATGTGATAGAAACCAGAGGCGTTTTTGAAGTACGAAACGGTTTGATAGATTAGGTATTTTACGCATTTGTGAGCCAGGAAGTTTAGGCTAATCGATACATTTGTGAGAACGTTTACCGAAACTGATTCATCC